ACTTTATCATGAATGCTTATTGATGACAATAAGATCCAAGGGTTTAATAGGCATGAAATATTTTTAATCTTTCAAGTAGACCACATAGTACAATTTAGCTGCTTGACTAACATGGGATGGAAAAATGTCTTACAGAGATTACTATTTAAAATGTCAATAAAATTCTTGATACTCTAATGACATGCTGACTTGTAATAACCAAGGGACTGTGAGTATAAATCTAAACCCAATCATTCTTTATAATAATACATGGTAATCAAGAATGCATGAAGTCTCTTTGCAAACCATACTTCCAGCACTGATCTATACAAATCTTGAAAGCTTACAGAATATTAATAACAATGGTAAGACACTCGGTGCCAGTTCTAGCATTAGGTAAAAGAATATAATATGTGTCTCAGACAGCAGATTTTAGATCCCATGACAGTTCAACAAACTGCAATATATTTACTTTGCTTTTTCTATTTTATGCCATAAATGAAAAGGGATACTTCAGGGATTTTTTCCTTATCTACCAAATTAATTTGGCTGCCTTTGGGTGCTATGAAGCTTGATTTGGGTGGTTTGTGGTCAGATCTAGTAATATCACTTTGAAATGTATCTTGCTGGCTTTTGATTCTTCATTCCAGAGCTAATAAGAATAGTTTGATTTGTGACAATGAATGGTTGGCTTTATAAAGGGAGCATGTCTGGTTTTCTAGATCATAACTACATTTTCCTTAGCTTTATTGATTTAGATTTCTAAGTGATTTATATGTGAATTCTTTGTATTCTGTCCAGTTACAGTGTTGGATGCTTATTGAAAATCAGTACTGTTGTTATTTCTCCTGCAATATCTCATAATGGATTGTAAGGCTAGCCTGCAACATGTAACCAAGCAAATATTCCTATCATATGTGATTTCATATGCATTCCATTCTTCTGAGATTTCATGGCTATCTGTAAAATTCTCAGAGCATGAAAACTAATTTCTTATTTGAAATTGCAATGAAGGATGACCACTTTTGTAGCACAATAGTCACTATTTCAGTTATTTGTGTAATTGCAGGCAGTCCCCGAGTTACAAACATCCAACTTACAAATGACTCATAGTGAAGAACAGGGGAAAGAAATCTACCCTTAGGAAGGGAAATTCATTCCTGAAAGAGTTATCATGAAGGAATGGTGTCTTCCAATGAAGCTTTATCACCCACTGGAGCCCCAGGTGGTACAATGGGTGAAACTCTTGTGCCAATAGGACTGAAGATATACAGATCGAAGGTTTGAATCAGGGGAGAGCATGAATGGGCTCCCTCTGTCAGCTCCAGCTCCCCATGCAGGCACATGAGAGAAGCCTCCCACAAGGTTGATACAGCATCAAACATCTGGGTGTCCCCTGGGCAATGTCCTTGCAGATGGTCAATTCTCTCACACCAGAAGCGACTTGCAGTTTCTCAAGTTGCTCCTGACACACACAGGCACACACACAGGCACACACACACACAAACATTCTTGTTTSCACAACAAGCGATTTTTTTTTCAAAATCCACTATCACAGGGACAGAAACTTAGGTGAAATTGTCTGAAAAGGAGCATAGACAGAAAAACAAACACTGCAGGTGGGTTAACCCTTCCCTATGCTATTCAAAACTCCCCCCCCCCTATATATATATATCTATTTCTGGAGTTACACTTCAAAAATATACTGTACATGTTCTGACTTACATACAAATTCAGTTTACGAACAAACCTACAGAACCTATCTTGTTCATAACTTTGGAACTGTCTGTATAGGGTGTGTGTAATCTAATGCCCCTGTCTTTTCTGCATTACAGGTAGTGGCTTGTAGCATTGAGATTTTCCAAGAAATCAATGAAATAGTTATATTTTAAAATATCAACTGCATTCATCTATTTTGAGGGGGTCTTGGAAAGATAACTGTAACAAGTTAGTTTTTAAAAGTAACCTTGCAATGTCTGACAACTCTATGCAATGCCTGCCTTTCCTAGTGTGATGTTGCCCACCTCTGCCTTTGGGCTTTAGTTTTCAACAAAGCTACCATTAAAGCTAGGAGGATTGTACAGTCTGCCCAGGTGGCTGACCACACAGATGTAGTTATAAAAGAGAACCTGTATGTGGTAATATTAAATCACACCTTTATCCTTTCCTCTCTCTTTATGTCAAACTACAAAGCCACAACAGAACAGCCACAAAAAAAGGCTGACTGGCTTCCAACTGGTCTGAACATAGTAGAACTTATAATGAAACCTTGCTATAAATACTGATAAATGATGCTCAAACAAATGCTGGTTTTCTTTCATTGAAATAAGTATGACTCACTTAAGAAGAGTGATTTATGATTCATTTCTTAGATTCCACAGGAAGAAGGCCATGAGATGCTGCGTGAACTTTGTCGTTCACATAATTCAGTCTCTGTGGCCATTATTTTACAGGAAATGTAGCATATAACAGTGACCTGCCTTCCAGAAGTATAATAAAAATGTTGTTGCTAGTACATAGTAGAAGAAAAGATGCTCAAGGTCCCTTTTTATTCTTAAGTTGCATAGTTTCTTCAAGGCAGAATATCTGAAATCTTCTTACTTAGATGTTTACTTGATGTTTATCATTGGTTTTTTTTCTTTGCATGTAGTACATATGTGAAGTTCACTTCTAAATGGTGAAAGGTTTCAAGGGTTCAGTCCCAGGGCTCAATTTATGTACAAGATGCAAATAGGAATTTATGGATAAATCCAAGGCTAGTTCCAACTCGATTTGCCTTATTGAAAATTATTGGGGCTGCTATTCCCAAGTAACATATTTTATTGATTGGAATGGTAGCAGGAATTACCATGAGATTTGGTTTTTTATACATATACAGGTTGAATACAACATGGGATTTTCCAACATTAACACCCATACGATTCCTGTTGTCAGTTTTTAGGGGAGTACATAATGGTCTAGGATTTCATGCTCAGGAGAATTTTGCTCTATTACATCCACAGTTGACTATCTTTCTTCCTCTTGCCTAGTGGACCAAAGAAATATGATTAATTCTGCCCATCACCTACTCTTTCCCAGGCTTCTCTAAGTCTCATTGAATATATAATCAGACTATGACTACTATCAGCTGTTCTTGGTTAACCATCATGCCAAGGGGCCACACATTTAGAAATCTTAATGAATGGCACAGGTAGAAGAATAATGATCTTGGCCAACGTCCTACAGTAGTATATTTTGAAATGGCTTCTTGTCAGCCTATATATGATCTCTCATATGAACATGTTGCTAACAGATAGCTAATGTCTTTTTCTTCAGAATGTTGTGTATGTTATCTACTGAGGACCTGTAGTGGGTTAAACATAGTTTGTTTTCCACCTCTATCTGCACTGCCTTCATCATGAATGCACAGATACACACACTGTGAAGAAAATTAAGTACAGGCAGTCTCCATGTTACGAAGAAGACAGGGTCTGTAGATTTGTTCTTAAGTTGAACACCCATGTGGTGTTTGTTTTGCTATCTGTGCCCCTGTTCAGAACATTTCATCTCTTTTTCTCATGATAATTTGAATTTTGAAAAATTTGGCTTGCTGTGGAAACAGAGATTGGTGATAAAGTTTCAGTTGAGACATCTTTTCCCCATGATAATTCTTTCAGGAGTCAATTTCTCTTCCTAGGGTAGATTTCTCTCATTTCCTGTTGTCTCACCCCTGTTCTTAACTATGAATTGTTGTAACTTGAGTACTGCCTGAAATTGTCAACAGAAGATTATATTTTCCTTTGAACGATAAACTTTGTTTTCATATTGAAGAACCTAGATGGTGAGAAGTAGTCAAACAACTATAGCACACACCATCTCTTTAAACATTAAGATGTATTTCTTTAAAAGCTTGGTTTGTGTTCCTAGATGAGATTGAGATCTGCAACTCCTGTAACAGGAAGTTGGCAATATGCAGCTTTTGACTATTTCAATGTACTTTAACATGCAAGTTCACTGCACAAATATTATTTGTCTAGTAACAGTATTTGACTAGAAGGGCTGAGACCTAATTGTTAGTTTCAACTAAAACAGACTGATTGACATGTACATGCATTGTGAACCTGCAGTTGATACAGTGAGTCTGTTCTAGTTGGGACTGTTTGATTTAGACTTAAGAGATGGCTTAGGTTTATTTTCATTAGAGATTGAATATGTATTTGAACAGTCATTCCTGCAATAGGGAATTCTCTCGGTGCCTACATTTGTGGAGCAGACTTGGATTGATGTCATTATAGTAGCATTTATAAAATTGATATAAGCTTTTAATGTAGGTGATAATTCTTCTTTGAAATGGAGGTCTTTGCTTACACATGAACCAGAGTCTCCTACTGTGTTTTTTTATATAATGGAAGTATCCTAAATCAATGGGATTTCGTAAGAAGCTGGGAGGTTTCTTGTACTGATCCCTATAAATGCTCTTCACTGTCACCTTAAGGTATAGCTTTAGAAGTAACTACAAATAACCTCTAGGAAATAAAGGAGAATGTCATAATTTGAAATTAATATGAACACTCAGTTTAAGCACAATGTTTTTACAAAGACCATAATTGGGAGATCTTGAAGCTTTGTTTGGTTCTTTCTTTGACTTTACCCACCCACTAAGAACATACAAATTTGCAGTTAAATCAAAGATTTCAGGAGACAGGGAACATAAAAATAATCTTCAGTGCTAAGGCTGAGTTATACCAGTCTATAAATTATCAATGCCAGGCCAGGCAGTTCTACCAGCAAGGAGCAAGTGTAAATATCTTTTGTTGAAAGGTGGTAAAAAGAGCTATGGCTGGTACAATGCCAGGTGGATGGTTTAGTGGAAACATGTTGATGAGAACATGTCAAAAGCTGGGAGGGTACTCTTTATAGGGGCAAATGTTCTTTAGCAAATGTCCAAAATACATGCTGGCAGAAATTTTCCTGTATGATGCTTTTGCATGGATGAGCAGCATTTCCTTAACTATTCTTTCTCTCCTTCCCTCTCCCTCCAGCAATTGTCATGGTCCTGAATAGCATGAGTGTCAGCTGGAGTGCCCGCATCCAGATTTTCTTAACCTTCTGCAAGCTCGCAGCAATTTTGATAATTATAGTCCCTGGAGTTATGCAGCTAATTAAAGGTATGAACTGAAAAGTAAATGCTATTTTAAGTGCTTTTATCTCCCCCTTCCCACCCTTGCCCCAACCAAATAATGCTTATGCCAGCAACATCTCTTAATTAGTCTCTGCTTGTTCAACATAAACTCCATACTGTCATGTAAATAACTGGAAGTAGAACTATGCTGGGAAAACTTACAGCAGTATGCTGATGGGAGCATACTGAAGAAAGCATTTTAAATAAACGACCAATGAGTTCCTCCTCCTAGCCAAGAAAAAGGAAAATACGTACACACACACACACACACACACACACACACAGAGCATTAGAAGAATAAACACTTCTGAAGGACACTTTAAGACAGTTGTGATAATCAAATTCTCAAGCACTTTTGTTCATCAGCATTACATTCAGTTGTGTGTGGTTTAGTATTATGTCCAAATGTGGCCAACCTCTTTCTCTGCAGTGCAACAAAGCCGTTGCCATGTTGGTTGTTGCTGCAGAAGCAAGAATGAGGTTCTGTAACATCTTAAAGACTAACAAATACATGGTACACAGAAGCTCATGCTGTAATACATATTTAAAGCTTTAAGATGGTCCAGGAATCTTTCAAAGATATGGTTCTTTAGCACAGAAAGGCAGCAGGTATTCTTGTACTAGGGCTTAGCAAGAAGTGGTCAGCACCAGCATTACTGGATACAGGATTATCTGTCTACTTATCCCAGTTCTGTACCCATCTTACTTAGTGTACTGCATATTGTAAAATCCAGTCACCATCATAGGGTTGCCTCATTTGAACATGGAAGAGAGCCTTCTTAGGGCATGTCTACATGGGCTATTTATTTGTTGTATCAGAAGCAAACTAAGGGTGCATGATGGGCTTCAGCCCCCCCCCCCCAAATTCTCAGGGTGGTCTGCGAGAAGGCCTTACTGGTACATTATTTAAACTGTTATGTTTATTCATATCATGATCTGATCACCATGCTCAATATATCCAATATGCATGGGGGTATTGGGGTAACAATACAAAAGGTTTGCTAGGGTAGATCCTCTCTCACTCAGACTCAGCCCCCCCCATCAATTCCCCCCCCCCCCCCCCCGAATCAAAATCCTGGCTACTGGTCTGGTGCAGTTGTAATATATTTAAAAACACAAAGTTAGAAACTTGGCATTATAATTAAATGTCCTTTGACCAGAATCTGGCCACTTGGAGTGTCTCTGGTGTTGCTATAAGAAGGTACTCAATTGTGCATGTGGCAGGGCCCAGACTGCAGTGTAATAGGTGGTCTGTGGTTTGCTCTTCTCCACACTCGCATGTTGTGGCGCCATTTCTTAAAGTTGGCTCTGCATCTTGTGGTGCCAGAACACAGTCTGTTTAGCACCTTCCAAGTCGTCCAATCTTCTGTGTACCCAGGGGGGAGTCTCTTATTTGGTATAAGCCATGGCTTGAGGTTCTGGATTTTAGCCTGCTACTTTTGGTCTCTTCGCTTGCTGAGGTGTCCCTGCGAGTATTTCTATAGTTCTTAGAAAACTATTTCTCGATTTAAGGCATTGGTGTGCTGTCTGATATCTGAACAGAGGATGGGCTGGAGATGTCACTGCTTTGGTCCTTTCATTATTGGCTGCTACTTCCTGGCGGATGTAAAAAATAAATAAATCAAGGGACATTCATTCAGCACTTGTCACTGAATTTCTGTCCTAAACGTATGTTCAGAATGAATTGTGGGGTCTGAAATAATAAGGCGGAGCATTTCTTATCCTAAATGCTTGGGACCAGAAGGCTTTGGGCTTTTGGATTCTAGGGGGATTTTGGAATACATGTATTTGTATATACATACACATTGAGATAGTTTAGAGATGAGATTCAAGTCTAACCCTATACACATAACCTAAAGGTCATTTACAATATTTCTAATATTTTTGCGCATGAAGCAAAGCTTGTATACATTGAGTCATGAGCAAGCAAAGGCATCACTATCCCAGTCACCCATGTGGACAATGTTGAATTTTGGATTAGTTAGGATTTTGGAATTCTACAGAAGGGATGCTCAAGGGCAGACTAGTTGTTTAAACAGGATGAGTTTGGACTTAATATATTACTTGAATTCACAGACCAAGGCATTTGAAAAAGTAGGCTTAGTTTACACAAGCTTATATTCCCAACTTCATTCTCTCAGCTTCTAAAGTGTTATGAGATCTCTTTGCATACCTATATTATTTGAGTACAACACAGATTCAGCAGTAACATAAAAATAGAGCAAAGAAACCTCAGAATTTGTGGCAGAATGACAAATTAGCATCATTAAATTGTTATGTTACTGCTGAAGCCAATCTGTGTAATATTCAAATAATGTAGGCATGAAATCAACAACATGATAATCTTTGGAAATTGGTACCTTTTGCTAATATACTTTTAGCACCTTATATTCGCTAATAACAAGGAAAGCAAAATAATGTCATATGAAAAGTATGTTGATCAAATATGACAAAATGCATGTAGCATCAAATCCCCATAGTAAAGTTTCTGACAGTCTTATTTTAGAAGTTATGATGGATAGATATAGTTGTGTTTCTTTATGAAGATTTCTTAAAACTGAAACTTTTGAATGTGTATATTTGTGATGTGGAAAGAAGGAAAGCTGCATTCTTGACATATGCCTAGAGGGAAGGAATTATTTGGGCACTAGGTTTTCCTGCCATCTTTTCTTAAAATTAGCAGAAATGCTTTCAAAACTATCTCCACAAGAAATTGCAGCTGGAAGGTAAATATTCCAAACAATGGCAGGTAAACCTGGGCATCTAATCTATTATTATATGTAGCTCTTTGCCTCCTGGGCACCATTTCCAATTTATTTACTCCTATGTGTTTGTTCTAATATCCCTGATGTTTGCTTAAATATAAAGTAGCTCCTAGTCCTGATGATAGTGTGATGTGTGAGAAACTTGAAAGATCTCATCTATTATACTGTCCTGCAAAAATAATTCTACTAGGTAGGAAAATACTAGAAATCCTAGTTAGTTGATTTCCTAGTATGTATAGAATAGAGACAGGAAAAAATCAACTGGAGGAGAATTCTACCGATAGCATGGACTGTCAAGAAGTTGTTTTTTTTTTTTGTCGTGTCAGGAGTGACTCCTGGTGTGAGAGAATTGGCTGTCTGCAAGGACATTGCCCAGGGGACGCCTGGATGATTTGATGTTTTTTACCATCCTTGTGGGAGGCTTCTCTCATGTCCCTGTATGAGAAGCTGGAGCTGATAGAGGGAGCTCATCCACCTCTCCTTGGATTTGTACCTGCGACCTGTCGGTCTTCAGTCCTGCCGGCACAGGGGTTTAACCCTGCCAAGAAGATTAATAAATATGTATTATGCCAAAATTAAACCTGCACTCTCCTGGAAGCCAAAAGTGATTAACTAAAGCCCCTTCCACACAGATGTATAAAATCCACATTGAACTGGATTATATGGCAGCGTGGACTTGGATAATCCAGTTCAAAGTAGCTATTGTGGATTATCTTCCCTGATATTCTAGGTTATATGGCTGTGTAGAAGGGCACACAGCCATATAACTAGATATTAATATAATCTAGATATTTAGATTTTTTTGTGCAAGGAGCAACTTGAGAAATTCCAAGTCGCTTCTGGTGTGAGAGAATTGGCTGTCTGCAAGGACATTGCCCCAGGGACACCCGGATGTTTTGATGTTTTACCATCCTTCTCAGAGGCTTTTCTCATGTCCTTGCATGGGGAGCTGGAGCTGACAGAGAGAGCTTATCCACTCTCTCCCTGGATTTGAACCTCTGACCTATCTCCAGTCTCCAGTCTTGCCGGCACAAGGGTTTAACCCATTTTGCCACCAGGGGCTCCATGATATTTAGATAATATTGCTTGATAAGTGTAAAGGAGCATGAGGAGAAGAAAACCCCACTATTGATGGATGGATTCAAAGAAGCCACAGCCCTGAGTTTGCAAAGTCTTAGGGCTGTTAGTATCAGGGCTTCTTGAAAGTCTCTCATTCATAGGGAAATTGATTTGATGGCAATACACAGCAACATATATAGAATTAGGACAGGGTAAAAGATATATTATGAATTGTATTTCAATATGTGCTCCTTATTGATTATTTACATAGCATGTGATAGCCAGTCTGAAACATTTAGCTCAATAGAATTGAATGGACACAATCAATCAGATCCTATAGGCACAAGGATAGCTGGCATATATATCAGCAGTGGCAAATATTTCGCCTGTTTTGACTTATAATTCCTATAAAGTCCATCTAACATGGCTAATGTTAAGGGATTTTAAAACATTTGAAGGGATAAAGGTTCCCCATGCGTAATATATATTGTTTGCATTTGTTTTTCCTATTCTAATTTAACTATCTGCTTTACTAAAAGTATAAGGGAATGATTAATAAGCTTGAAATGTAGATGGATTTGTGTAATTAACATTTAATTTGAAAACATAATCTCTCCTCCTCCCAAATATTACTTTTCAGGAGAAACTCAGCACTTTAAAGATGCATTTGTGGGAAATGCAGCTAGCGTCAAAGGACTGCCTCTTGCTTTTTATTCTGGAATGTATGCCTACTCAGGATGGTAAGTTGTTTGGTGGACTGGGCTTTTTGAAGTCTTATTGGAAATCCAGTGACCATGGCATGGACATAAATGCCCCTCAAGGTTTCCTCATGGAAATATTACAGATGGGCAGGGCTGCTTCTGGTAAATCTAGGGAAACTTAGGCAGCCATAAATTTTCTGTGAGTTATAGGAAGAAAACAAGTGCATGTCAGAAGAGATATTGGATCTTCTAAATCTAAAGTTATTACAAATCTGTTACCTGAATTAATGATACAAGTCCCAGGCTAGAATAAGTAATTTCTTTTTGTTGTATGTCCTGGGGTTAGTCCCACTTGTAAGCTGCTCCAAGACCATTTGAGGAGATGGTGGCGGGATATAAAAATAAAGAAGTTGTTGTTGTTGTTGTTGTTGTTGTTGTTGTTGTTGTTGTTGTTGTAATTATTATTATTCCACATTGAAAAAAACACTCCATCTCCCACCTTGGCTAGTGCAAGGTGATAGGACTTTGAAACTCATTTATTACTTAAATGCTCCTTTCCCATTTCGGATAGCTCTGCTATCCATCAAACAAAACCCACACAAACTGACGGAGTACAACAGGCACCTGTGATCGAATAATAGATACACATGTATAGGCAGTCCCTAAATCAAGAACAAGATAGGTTCTATAGGTTTGTTCTTAAGTTTAATTTATATGTAAGTCAGAACAGGTACATTTTTAAATTATATATATATATATGCTTTGGATAGCATAGGGAAGGGTTAACACCACTGTGGTGTTTGTTTTGCTGTCTTTGCCCTTGTCCAGAAGATTTAGAAAAACATGTATAAAATGTTCTATAGAAGTTACATAACACCTGAATGAATGGCAAAAATTGATAAAACCCAAAGGGGGGAATGCTGGAGATGTAACGTGCAGAAAGGCACCTTCCTCCATGTTTGGTGGATATGTAAGGAGGTAAAAATCCTTTTGGAAAATGGTGATGAAACAAACTAATAAATCAATTTCTAAAAAGATCAAGAAAAACCCAGAAAGATGTCTATTGGGCTTTTTTCAAGAGAGAAATAGTAAAGATATAGTTTTGTGGCTGCGAGAATTACAATAGCAAAGTCTTGGAAGGGGGAAAAAAGAACTCCTCATTAAGAATTGGAGAAGAAAATTAGTTGAGTATACCCAAATGGCCAAGCTCTCCAATGTCTTAAGGGGAAGAAACAATGAAGAGTTTGTTAGCAAATGGGGATTTGCCTTTTGGTATTTAAAAAAGAAGATAAAAATAGATTTTGAAATAGCCGCACGGGGAATTTAGTAATGCAATGATAAGGATAGAGTCTTGTTAGATACTAGTTCCATATGGCGTGGTGTCAGAAGTTATACATGGTGGTTCACAGGTGAGAATGGGGAGGTGGTGGAACTGGGGAATTAATATGTTTGAATTTTGAAGACTGTGTTTTCCCCTCCATATACCACAATAAAAATTTATACAAAAAAGAAAAGAAAGAAAATTATTATTTTTAGCCAAGACAAGATGGCTAAAGACCATCACTTTCTCTGTTCTATAAATCCTGTTTGAAGGCTAACTTGCTCGGTACAAAGTTATTGTGAAAACAAAGTAAGCAATTATTTTGCTGTCTGAGAAATATTATATGAACAACAACAACATATTTATAAACATTGTGGTTTTATAGGTTTTATCTCAATTTTGTCACTGAAGAAGTAGAAAACCCTGAAAGGTAAGTAGCATGTGTTATTTTTTTTAAAAAAAATAAAAAATAAAAATGAGTTTAAGATTCCTGATGCTTCAGAAAAGACAACCAAAAATATATGATTTATTACAATAATACTAGTGTTGAAATCGAGTCCCTCTTGCAGACAAAATATATTTGAATATGTGTCTGTTTAAAGTTTTGCTATTTTTTGCTAGAAATTGACCAGCGGTGTGGCATAACTTTCTTGTGCACGGACAATATAAAGAAAGGCAATTCTGGTTTGCTGTTCCCCATCAGTAAATGAGTAATTTTCTCGGGGAATCTTTCACTGACAAGTATCTGAGAAGTATTCCTGCAGTGAATGCAACATTTTCCCTGCCTTTTTAACAATTTAAATATAAACACAAATTGCTAATTGTGCCTCATGTATGTGCCATTTACATTCAAATAATTTCTGATTTATCGAGAACCTAAGGTGAACCTATCACAGGATGTTCTAGCTAAGCTTCATTCAGAAAGGATTTGCTTTTGCCTTCTGAAGCTGAGGGCTCTTCCACACAGCCCTATATTCCAGAATATCAAGGCAGAAAATCCCACATTATCTGAGTGCGAATTCATATACCCCAGTTCAAAGCAGATATTGATATTCTGGGATATAGGGCTGTGTGGAAGGGATCGGAAAGAGTGTGGCTTGGCCAAAGTCACATGGCTAGGTGAGAAATCAAACTCTGAACTCTGGTCTTCTACAGACAACGTCCATCATTCAAACCACTACACTGCGCTGGCTCTTAGCTTGTTTATAGGTCAGCTTAATCATCATGTGACTTCACTATAATAAAAGCCTAGTTAGATAAGGCCAGGAGGAAGAACTCTGCATAATGTTCCAGAGAGCTTCTCCTTCATTTAAAAGTTACCATGTCCACTGACCATTTGTGGGATATCAAATTGACGATATGGAACCAGAAGAAGATGTTGTCCTCTCTGTCAGGTTCTGTTTAGCTGATAAGTCTTTAAGCAAGTATTTTAAACACAGTTCTAACCTATGCAAATATTGTCTTGTAAAACAGACAATTGAAATCAACACAAGCATAACCATGGCTCCATTATATCGCTACATTTATCTCGGGCAGTGAATTACAAACATCCCACTTCTATCTTGTTCATAACTTGGAGGTTGCTTGTATCTTGAAAGAGTGCCTTGAGTTTAGCATAGAAAGATGGAAATAAAACATATAATTGAAAAAGTCTCAAGACATTTCTTGCTCCCAGATTTTTCTGTTCTACAGTCTAACATTCTCCTGCTCCCTAAGAAATTTTAAACGGGTGAAATTCTAAAAACCCAAATCAAGATGATGTAAGGGCTGAAATTCCTGCTCACTGAGGAACAATAGCTCAGTTTTTACTGGTTATTTTTCATTCTTAACCAAACATTACAAACACAGCTATTTCCTTTACGATTCTGCTTTCACTGGGCTAAATTAGTTCTCAGCACTTAGCACTAATATTACAGATAAATTACCCAGTTTATGTAGAAAGTGCCTTTTTAAATGTGACGGCAACTATATGGGACTTGTACATACTTTGCTCCCTACTATTCCTGCCCTGAATAGTCTTCTTAATTTAAACTGGGTTGGATAGAGATTAATGCTGTTCCTGCCTTGGCAAGAGTAGTTAAATAATATGCAGGGGATGTGCAAGGCTTGTAAACACATTATTAAATGGAATTTGTGTCCCAGAAAATAAACAGATAGGCAAGACAAGTGTAGTCCAGTGAGATCTCTGGCAAGTTGGTCCATGCCCAGATGAAGAGAGTAAAAGAAAGTTTAAGGTAGATGGATCTCTTGATGTCCTTAGTAGCAAGATGGACATTTGGGAACAAAAGTCAAAGCTATCTCTATTTTTGCTAAATACCAACCAATATGCCAACTGGATGTTATGCCATTTCATTTCCTATCAGCTTTTTGAACCAGGTTGTTGCTGTTGTTGCTGGGTTCTTTCAAAGAATTTCTGGTGAAATGTAAATTTAGGGAAATGGTCACAGATATATAACTGAAGATAGAGGCATTATGTTTTTGTGTATTTTCTCAGACAAAAAAATTCACTTGAAACAATACCAAAAATAACATGTCAGGTGTGGTATGGGATTGGCAAGGGGCTTTGGATCTCCAGAAATGGAGTTTGGCAGCACACTTTCTCCATGCCTTCTCTATACATATCAGCCCCTGTTGTATAAAAATGACTTATGTATAGAATTGTGCTGTTAGTGTAGTCAGAACACAGTAAGTACATATAGAAATATGATTGTCACACTATATAATGACATTTAAACCAAGTCAAAGCAATGTTTCTAAATGTTTATCACTTTAAGCCTATCTACATGGACACCTGAGTTCAGGGCCAGTCCTAAAGCAACCCAAATTTTGTGAAGGTGTTTTCACTTCTCTGTTTCCCTCCTCTCAAACCTTTTTTTCATGAATGTACCTGGGTAGAATTGTATGTTTTCTGTGTTTTTAAAAAAATAATAATATGATACTTGAATTTCTGCATCTCCCTATAATTTTATACTATTGTCACTATGTTTTGTCCCCCTCACACCCAAAAGAAGTAAATATGAAACACAAAATAGGCAGGATAAATGCAACACTTGAAATATATAGAACTCTTCCTCAGGCAGAATGGAAATGCAACTAATATTTCACTATACAGAGAGCTGTTGGTTACATTTCCCCACCATTTTGGATAGAGATTGCCTCATGCACACAATGTTTCAGAAGTACATGGATAGAGAAGCATACATATTCTTTGTAGGAGAATATAGAAGTGAAAAGCAATCCAGTTCTCCCCAATGGAATGAAATTGCATTATCATATTGAATATGAAATAAAACTGATTGATATCATCTATTTTAGTTGATAACATTGGTTTTGTTTAAGATATGCTGAGCTGCATTGTTCAATGTTGAGTGTGAGCCATTCTCTTTGACTCTTACTGTCAACCCAAAGTTCTGCACAAAGCACTGGGATGTCACCTAAGGGTGAGCTATTGTTCTCCATCATGGTATATCCATGGTACTTTGGAATGCCATAAACCATGTTGGAAGATTTAACTATGTCAGTCTTCTTAGTTAGGAATGGAAGGAATAGTCAAATATATATATTTTTAATGGTGTTGAACATGTTCCTTCTGTGTCGAGAACCTCTTCTTTTTTTTCAAACTAAACACCCCATTTAGTTGAGCTGTTTCTCATGAGTTGTTTCTCATTGGACTTGGACTCCAGATTATTTACCATCTTGGCCGCCCTCCTCTGAACATGTTCCTATTTGCCAATATACTTAAATATTGGCATACTCAGAGACAAGGAATACCAGTTCCTTCTTTTGAAGTATAGCCTGCACACCTATTATCCATTGCCAGTCTCCCACTCAAATACTAACTAGAGCTGACTCTGTTTAGTTTTCAAGATCAGTTAGGACCTGGTGCCCTTAGGGTATTTAGGCCCCTTCCAAGACCTCTGGAAATGGAATAATCATATGCTTCCCGTTTGATTATTCCAACTTGAATACCAAGCATATCGGTTATTATACCAGTTCTGCTCAAATTCCACTAATTCAAAGGTAACCTGCTTATGAATGTCATTCAGTTTTGAACGAAACCATTAATGTTCAGTAACTAGAGATGTACAACTTGATTATTTGAACAGGCTTGTTTTGAGTCTCCCAGGCACTAAACAAGCATTTGTTGTATAACAATCTTGTTTGCTTTCCTGTAGGTGCTATATTTAAATCTTCTGTAGAAGTTCACAGTGTCAGACTGCTACAGCTTTCTTTTTTTGTACAGTGGAATTTCAAACTGTGAATTGTTGCTATTGCCATGAACGGGGTCGGGTTTGTAATTCTTGCAGAGGTGTAATCTGTAATGTTTTGTAAAGAGCTATGCATGCAAATTACTGCCTGGAACAAGGAAATGCATAATGATTCCTTCTGTCTTGTGCCTTGCCAAAGTAAATGTTTGCTTCAAATTCAGTCACAGTTGTATGTTTCCAGGTGCACTTCACCATGTAGAATAACTGGCAGCTGGTATTTCTATAATCAGTTCATGCTCAAACAGTGATAATTAACCTTCTGCAACAGGGAGGGTGACAGTGTGCCTGAAAAGAATGATGTGGCAAGCACAGCTATTTGCACCTCAAAATAGTAAATCTCTATGGATGTGTTGAATCGGGGGTTGGCATAAGGAAGCACTGAATTATTTAAAGAATGATTTCAATATTTTTTAACTGTCATGTTTCCCTTCATTTTCTACTTTTGAAAATGTAGGAGCAAGTGAACATGTTAGTTTTCTCCCCTTTTCCTATCTTTGGGTGAAGAAATGAGACCAATGTTTCAAACCTCTCCAATCCATGATTAGAAATCTGATTCGTAAATGTAAAGTGTTATTAGTGTTCAGTTACAGCTAAGTCCTATACTGTATAAAGCAGATACAATTTTCACTTTTACATGTCAAGCAATCAGAGTGTCTTGTTCCAACAGGAATGCTATGAGTAAAGACGTAAGTTAAGATAGCCCAGGCATGGGCAAACTTTCTAACTTATTTATTTATTTATTTATTTACTGCATTTATTGACCGCCGCTCTCAGCCCTAGGGCGACTCGCGGTGGTGCACAACATATAAAAACAGTTTACAAAAGGGCAAAACAGGAAATCAATACAACAATAATACACTATAATCTAGTTACACTAAATAATCCGCTCCGTCACATCATAGAATCATAACCAATATCGTAATCCGTATTCCGTTCCAGTTGTCAATTACCAGTTGCCGTAGCGCTCAGTTGAATGCCTTCTCAAATAGCCAGGTCTTCAGGCTCTTACGGAAGGACAGAAGGGAGGGCGCCTGTCTGATGTCAGATGTGTCTGATGTCACACTTGAGGGCCTGCATGGTGGACCATAGCGGGGTGGGTGGGCTGGGAGGGAGGGGGTTCTTCCCAAGTCCCCTCCCTGCCCTTTCCTCCTCTTCATGCCAT